TTCAGCTTGTACACCCCATAGAAAGCTCCCATCTGCAATAAGTCCTTGTAATCATTTGAAAAAACTGCTCTGTTTTTAAAGTATGCATTTGTTAGTTTGTGTTTTCATTATGCATCCCAAACTACTCGGCTATGGTTGGAGAGAAATCATCTTAATGTAAGAAAAACAGAACTCTTCATATGAGACGGTACATGAATAATAGTCTCCTGTTTTTGCCTCTGTATAAAGACATCCCACCTCTCTCTACTTTATTACTTATAAACGTAGGTGACTTCAACACGTGTTGGTCTAACTGTAGAGGACAGTCATAAATCACATGACAGCAAAAGGCCAGGGAAGGTTGGTGTTTGAACAAATGACCAATGCTTTTCAGGTGAGTACACTCTCAAAAGGCTGTGTGCTGTATGGCCTGAAGATAAATTAAGTGTTGACAAGTCTGCAAAGGGACATTATAGTCTTCGTATTAATCTTATCTAGCAGCTGAGGACTGGGGACCTGTGTTGTTCGGTGTGTGTGCATTATGAAAAGTCTTCTTATTTTGTTGATGTGTGTAGGCCCTGACACACCAGGCCGTCACCAGAGAACTCACCGACACCGACAGTTGCATCGGCGAGTTCTCCTGCGTCTTGGCCATGTGTCGCACTGGAACACACCGCAAAGACTTCAGCTGAGCACGTACGAACTGCGCATGCGTGAGTGGCAATAACTCTCCTTACCAGCAGGCGGCGGTAGTGTGTATTCGTCATTCAAAATAGGCAACAACCGGAAGACAGAGAAGAAGAACAGACTGATATAAACAAACAAATAGCGTGTGCGTTCCATTTTCACTCTCGTCCATCGAAAACATGTTTTAGAATATAAAAATACATGAATGATGAAATGAGCACATAAAGTGCAGACATACTATAAAATCACAGTTAATAGACCTGCATCTGATGATCGCAGTGTTCTGGCGGGTGTGTAGTTTATTGAGTCAGCAATGTAGTAATGTATGTAATGTAATAATGGCCACTTCTTGCTAAATTTACATTTCCATGTGATGCTTTTATCCGAGGCGACTCACAATAGGTAAATGAACAGCAGTAGACAGTATCTCATTTACTTAGACACTGTACTTAAGGACAATGTTGAGGTACTTGAGACTAATCCTGCAACTTTATACTGACAAATAAACCGATGAGATGAAAAACCGGACTTGACCAAACAAATCACGGAGCTCTCAGCAGAGGACAGCCGGGGACGCTCCCGCCGATATCAGAGATGTCCCTGCTATGTGTGGGAGGTAAGAGAGGACATTTAAGGGCTATGTTTGATGTCTTTAAGTATCACCTGCTGGGGTTTAGCTGCTGTCCTGTGCCTTCTTAAATCGTTTGTTTACGTCCCTCACTTCCGTTTCGCTTCTCATTTGCTAGCTGAACAGCTGATCAGAGTGGTTTCTTGGCCCGATAGCTTGTGTCGACCGTGAAAGGCCAAATAAGGCGTGTCACGGCCCAGGGTTCGGGACACACCAAATTGACTTTGGGCGACAGGGCACGCTTCATCGCCAGACGGCCGATATCGGCCTGGTGTGTCTGGGCCTTTAGATTAATGAGTCCTTAATTGTCCTCGGATGACACTGCTTGGGTTTGCTGTTGCAAATAGGCTAATGGACTTTTACACATTTCCCATCCTTTTCCAGACCCACAAAAACAAACACACCCCTCACATGCACATACTGTAAAGGGCATCACAGCAGTTAAGAGTCATCTAAGGATAGCAGGGAGCACACATTAAAGGAACAAGAGTCTTAGCACAAGTCGCACCTCAGTTTTTACTGTGCAAACATTTTTCATTATCATAATGGTTCTTATATCTCATTTAAATTGATTTCTTTAAAAGAACAGGATGAGTGTGTTTGTCTAAAACCACCTCTAAGAAAAGCTTAAAACTATAATGTATTTAAACCTAGTAGTATGTTTAGATTCAACATGGTAATCTTAGCTTTAGCTATTAATAACCTAGTAAGGATTTGAATGCAAAACTTAATAGATTTGCGAATAGATTTGCGAATAGCTGATGAAAGCCGATCTGGTGTAAGAAAATAAAAGTATAGGTCTTAAGTACACACGCCTCAAGTAGTCATATCATTGCATCTTCTGCCTTGACTTTCTTGATCTTTCTTTTTTTATAAAATATTAGGTGATTAAAAGCCTTGTCACAGCTTTCTGTCAGTCAGACCATTTAAATTGGTAAAAGACTTTCCATTCACGTATACTTCCGTCTCTTTCTTCTCTCAGTTGAAGAAATGTTCTGATATCTTGCAACGCTGAAGAAAAAGAAAAATGACTCACATTTCGAGTGAGCTTTTACTCCTTTTCCTTGATGTCCTTAAAAGTAATACTTTCATGCATTATCATGTAGTTAGGTTTTTGCAACAAATCTAGAAGTTACTAATATCAGCGAAGGGCAAATGGAATGACAGCAATAACACTATAGCCTTGAAAATATGAAAAGTGTTATTTCTTTGAAGCCATTTTATTAGTTACAAATTGCTTACACATTGGCAGGCAATTGGCATGTCCTCGGTCTGAATTTCGGTTCTACTTTAAGGGCATCATCTGATTTGAGATTCACTAAGTCTTAAGCTCCATCTGTGTGTTTGTTTGTACACATGTCCTCATTTGCTCTGTTATTCCCTCTGTGTTGAGTGTGATTGTGTTTCTTTCTGTCTCTGCTGGCTCTATTGTATTCATCACCAACCTCACTTATAATATAAATGTATTGTTGTCCATTCTTCCTTACTCACGACTCTCCATCTCGCAGAACACGTGTCTGTGTTTCTTTCTGTTCCCTGTGCTTTTTTAAATGAAGTGGGCACTGTGGCAGAGCCTATTTTAATTTCATAAATGATGTTTCCACAGCTTCTTAGAGCATTTAATTATTTTTCAGTTTTTTTTCATGTATTTATATACGCATCTGAAAAGCAGTTGCCAAGCAGATTTATCTCTCAGATGTGTTGTATCTCACCTTCATAACAAAGGAATGAGCAATAATGAAAATTACAGTATGACATTTATTATTGACTGTGAAATTTAGATTCTTCTCTAAATACAAAGCAAGGAATGACAAGAATTGACAGGTGTGCCATCAAGCTTAGAATAATTCTTAGTAATCATGCTGAAAGTATACTGTATAGTGTTTAAGTAATGCTAGGAACATGTAAATCCATGCAAATTGGTCTATGGTATCAGGTCAGCTCCTACACTTATCTAACATTGGATTTATACAGTTGAGTGTTTGGGCTATTGGAGGAAAGCACATGCTAGTAGTTTGTTTTAAATCAAATTGGGCAATAAATGGCTAGAGTTTTTTAACAATACAGCAAGTCCACAAATGTATATGTTGTTTCTGCTACCACAAACATGCAAGTTGAGTCAAGTATTCGGTAACCTTGTTTACCATATATTAAACAGAAAAGAAAGCCACCACCCACGTAGCAGAAAGTCAGCTTCACTTTGTCTCATGAAGAAAGAATGAATTGAGTTCTACCCCGATCACTGGCATTGTTTAGCTTGGTAAAACACAGAAGCTGTGAGTAGGTGGGAGAAGGCAACAAGGCCAAGAAGAGCTGCTGAGGGACTAAGAGTGGGAGTCTGTGTTTACTCGAATAAGTGTTTACTACTGAAGACACAGTAGGATTCAGGCTTGAAAATAAAGAAACTGTAAAAACGATTTGTTGTTCAACTCAGCCAACTTTGACTAGACTAGTAAAACACCCCCTCAGTTATTTACTGTATGAAGCTCTCTACACCATCGGCAAGGAGGTGAGTTTGTTGATCAAGTGACAATGGCTCTAATTTAGAACGGCAATTATTTTCATTATGAAATATAACCACTGGACTCAGAGCAAGGAAGTTATACGTTTTAAACGTGCAAGTTCTCCCTGTGCCTTAGGTTTCATGCAGGTTGAGGTTAACTGGCATACATCCAGTTAGCTAACGTGTGATGTTGAGTGTGACTGGTTGTCTATGTGTTATTTTCTCTCACCAAATCACACATGGGATTAGCTCCAGCGAGCGGTCTTGTCTCTATATTACGAAAACTGATTTTTAAATAACCATGATTTAAAAAAGGAAAATTGCATTGATTGTAAGAAAAACAACATTGTCACTGTGGATAAAAGGAGGTGAGATCTTTCATTTCTTGTTGAGTGTGTAAAGATGTTTTTTTATAATCGTTGTCAAACTGAGAATGATTTTTGTCTCAATAAATGTTGCACAGGTTTTGAGAACTATAAACATAAGCTGATGATACAGTCGAGATAAAGATGCATCATGCCCTTCAGACTTCCATGTAAATTCGAGAGAGCAGCTGAGAAATAAACATGTTATTTATACAATGCAATCAGTGTGCTAGAGACAGCTCACACTAACGAGACAAATCAGGGTAGTAAATGAAGGGGAAGCCAGAGGAGGCTTCAGAGAGGGGATCTGGGTGTGAAGAGAGAAGACTCGACTCATGTGGGATTCATGCAGCCGTACTGTACAGCGAAATTATTTTTAGCAGATCTTGTTTTTACATTTGTTTAAGTCATAATGTGAACCATCAAAGGTTTGAAGACTGCATTTTTCTTGTGATATTTTTAAAGACTCAACTAGTCTAAGTACATTTGGGTTGTGTAGTATTTTTTCTGCCCTCCTAAATGATTTCATCTGAGACGAAGAGGTGTCAGCCTTATAAATATGTTGTTATAGGTCACAAGAAACTGAGGAGTAGTGCGTATACAACACCATCTGTAGTCAGAAACAAGCCTGTGGCGCCCCTTAGTGGGCAAACGGTTACAAAGCTCGAGAAAAAAGTTAGGAGTTGTAATTAAACACAGTATTAACTTTGAGTTGAGTTCTTCATTATTGGTTTAATGTTCTACTATTTCCATTATCATACTTCCCACTTCTCTTTGGCTTTCACTGAAAATAAGTGTGTTCTTTAATTGTATACACTTATTTTCCCTCTCTTGTCAGGACTGCAAAGAGCCTCCAGATTGCTGCTTCAGTGAGTCTTTCACCTCTCCGTCGTACACGCTGGGTGTTGACCTGCGCCGTGGCCGACGCCGTTTCTCAGGCAACCTGCAGTTACCCCCGTTGTCATGGCGTCAGGGGTCAAGGACACCTGATGAAGAAATCATAGCGAGGCCAACATCTTTGCCCTTTGGAGCCCCTCCCAGGATAGATATCACGCCGGTTGATCCCGAATGGTGAGTGAACAGAAAAATTAAATCCAACAAACACAAACATGCTCAATGGCAGCAGAAGCACATTGTTTAGGAAAACATTTGAACGACCTAGAGCAGGGGTCTGCAACCTTTTTGACCAAAAGAGCCATTTTGTCCACTTTTCCACCAATTTTTTTTGTCTGGAGCCGCAAAACATATTTGATAGCTTGATAGCTTTTAAAGTTGTATATATTGTTACATCATAGACACAAACTACAGTTTTTTTGCATTTATTATGTATTACATTATAGAAAACTGTTTACCTCTAATAATAAACAAAGAACTCTTATAAGGATAATTAAAATACACAGGCCTACTTTAAAATAAATCAACACAGCACTTGGGGAGTCCTCTGCACATTTGAAGAAAATGAATATAATTAAAATGGGCCCACTTTGAAATAAATAAGCTGCACCCTAAAAATAGTTAACTGATTGAATTATGACTGAAGATCGTCAGCTGTCTTCCTCTTCCGTGTTTTTCCTCGATACGTAAAGGCTGCAGCACCTTTGACAACTTCTCTCCACATATCAAACATACCGGTAAGCCAGCATCGTTTGCTGTGAAAGCAGATAACTCTGTCCACGCAGAATTAAATCCTCTGTGTTCCTCCGATACTTTTATTTTCTTTGATTTATCCATAGTTCGCTCGTCGAGCCGGGGGTCAGGTTATTCGCCTGCAAGAAAAGGCGCTGGTGCGGGACCGTAGCAGGATGTGACGCATATTTTAGTTGACCTAATTAAAACCGTTTGAAAAAAAAAATGTAGCCTATGTGTCAAAGTATCACCTCAAAATACAAGATACGAAACATTTTCAACCGTGCAACAAAATATAAATAGTCCTACAAATATTTTTATTTTATTTCCTTCTTATTTTTGTCTAAGCTCAAGGGAGCCAGAGTAGAGGGCTTAACGAGCCGCGGGTTGCTGACCCCTGACCTAGAGACATTCAAACACCTGGAGAAATCTAAACATTAGGATGATTTTCTCTGTAACTGGAAAGGGATATGCTTTAGATAATGTAGCATTTCTTTTACATGAATAAAGATGCAACACTTAAAAAGCATTGAATGTTAGTTTTTGTCCCACAGTGTCCTGCACAAACACAATCAGAATATCTTTATTGTCATCATACAAAGTATAAAAAAGTGATTTTGTAGTGAAAGTTGGCCAACCTCACCTTAAACAAAGACTACCTCAGCTTATGTTTTAAACAAAGAATATATTTTATGATATGAAACATAAACCTTCAGGGAAAAAGAGCTTAATTTCTCAATGTAGACTGCTACTAGATTTTGTTAAGCCCATACTCATATTGATACTTAGGAATTGATAATAAAAAAAAAGCGAAAAATTGTAAATCTGATATTTTAGATATATTTTCTGAATGGGGACCATACTGTGCAGGAAATGTCAAAGTTGAAGAATCAGCTTGTTAGTGCTCTCTGGTGGACAAACTATGTAAAGCTTTGACTGTTTCTCAATCATTTCCAACGTAGTTTGGCATTTCTGTGTTAAAATGTCTTGTTACCTGGTCATCACATAGACTAATACTAATATAGCTGCAATAAGGTAGCGCAGTTTCATTTATAAACCCCACATATTTTGACACCTTGTTTGTTATGAGTGTATGAACAACACTGACATCTTATGTTCTATAAGGTGTGTTAAGCCTCTTTCTTGTTGTTCTATGCTTGAGCATAGAGACTTTTCTACAGTTTTTGATGGAGCAATGTGGATTTTCTTTTGGTTGTGAAGCATCCGAAAAAATTACCTGAATATGAGATGTCAATGGTGAATGCCTGTCCAAACCTACTAACAGGCTGACGTTCACCAATTACATACATGGAATTTTAAGTACTAATCATTGGAGAAAGTTATTTGTCAAACCACAGGATCCCTCAGTTATACTAAGCAAAGACTCAGCTTCAGAAAATGTGTTAGAAGCCCTCTCTGCATTTGTGACTGAGCTGCCATGTAGCACTAAGCCTGTTGTTGATTACATTGCCTTGCTTCATTATTTATGCAGCATGCCTCACGCACACGCACACGCACACGCACACATACACATACACACACAGCAACAGGTACCATGTATCAGTTTCAGATAACACATACACAAACACAAACAGCAAGTGGCCGTTTCTGAGCAGTCAGCCAGTTGTCCAGTCGTGTCAAATTCAGACATGCTTTTACAAAACTAGCTAATCACTCCTGATTGGACCAGAGTCACTTGAGGAACACTTTAAATAGAGTAGTCAGGTGATTAATTTCTTACAGTGAGATGAATAAGGACTGCAGGGAAGATTGGTGCTCATCAGTCCTGATTGGTGCTGCACTTAAGTTTATGGGTGTTCATGTGTCCTGTATAGACATCTGGTGACCTTTTTAAATATACATATATATATATGTCAACAAAGGGGATACATGATCACGTTTTATTTAATCTACTTATTGACTAATCATTGCGTATTTTTGCAATACAGGACCTATTATGGAAATAAATAATGAGCACACTTAAAAAACACCTTCATAACATAACGTTCTCTGATGAATCACATTGAACAGCTTATTGAGTGAATGTTTGAAGATCTGAAATTTCAATTGCTACCAGAAGGGAGCAGTGTGTGCACGGTTGACTGGACAAGCTTACACACACATTCACACAAACACACTGGTGACAGATTAAAGGAACAAGCTAAGTCGAAGAGTAGATGCTTCCACACTGAGGGTTACTGAATGGGTTGATGAGTGTGAAAATGATGCAAGTAAAATCTGCTACGGCATGCATGGTAGGGGAATAATACACTTCCAGAGACATGGAGGCACGGAAACTTTTCTTGTGTTGGCTTGTGGCAGTAATTTGAATATATAACCTTTTTATATATATATAAAATCATAAAATGAATTTTTTTTTTTTTTAACAGCATGTTTGTTGGTGGCTGTTCAGTCCGCTTGGGCAAATGCAGAGTTTATAGCAGACGAGCTGTGTGTCAGTCGTCAGTAACCCTGGTGGTGGAGGCAGACATGTTTCCCCACATGTACTTTTCCCTCTTGGCCTTCCTCTCTTTAAAAAAAGCTATCACACTACGTCTCCTCCAGGCAACACTGCTGCTATATGTCAGGGTCAGCAGAAACTTCCTGAAGGTCCTAAACCTAAAGTCTAGGGAATTGCTCCCTTCCCTAGAAGTGTGTGATGTGTGGTGTGTGTGTGTGTGTGTGTGGTTGTGTGTGTGTGTGTGTGTGTGTGTGTGTGTGTGTGTGTGTGTGTGTGTGTGTGTGTGTGTGTGTGTGTGTGTGTGTGGTGTGTGTGTGTGTGTGTGTGTGTGTGTGTGTGTGTGTGTGTGTGTGTGTGTGTGTGTGTGTGTGTGTGTGTGTGTGTGTGTGTGTGTGTGTGTGTATATCTGCCTGTGTGTGTGTGTGTGTATCTGCCTGTGTGTGTGTGTGTGTATCTGCCTGTGTGTGTGTGTGTGTATCTGCCTGTGTGCGTGTGTATCTGTCTGTGTGTGCGTGTGTATCTGTCTGTGCGTGTGTATCTGTGTGTGCGTGTGTATCTGTGTGTGTGTGCCTGTGTATCTGTCTGTGTGTGCCTGTGTATTATATGCATGTCTAAATATGTCTGCGGCACAATTAAAGTACCCGTCATCAGCTCAGCTCCTCGTCTCCTCTCAGTCCCCTCTTTCCCTTGTACTTATTTAGGTGCTTAAATCAATGTTTGGAAGGAGGCGGAGGGAGCAAGAAGTTATTTTGGGATTCAATTATTTTTCCTGCTGATGCACACAATTGTTTCACTGTGCCTCATGGATTGTGTGCGTGGCTGGGTGTGCTTGTGCCACCGCCTGAGAAAAGCCAGTATGGTGCAGAAGAAACCTGTAAATAAGTGGCAATAACTGAGTCAGGGACTGGTGAATAAACTGGATACATGTGTGTTTATTAACAGGTGTCTTTGGCATGTGCAGGTTATACTGTAGGTGCGATTTCATCCACTTTTACGATTTGCACATTAAATTGGTTGGAACGGAAACATAAATAAATCGTATACTCATTGCTACACAGAGATTTGATGTTCAGTAATGTTCCTTATAATAAGACATGAAACAAACTTAATATTAATATTAATATTAATATTTTCATTGTACATTGCTTTTCACCATTTTAGGTAAGGCTGGTGCTCTTTGAATCAGTAATCTTGTAGCCCCCCTTTTTTTCAGCAATGAAATTGGCACCACCTACGGCTTATCTCCATAAACTAAATCCTTTTACTTGTGCAACATGATCATGCTCTATCGGCTGAAGGGCTTCAGATAACGACACACTACAGCAAACCTACCAGTGATGATTGACTTACACACACTCTGCAAAAGTGGAGTGGTGTCTAAGCTGTGTCAGGAAACAAGTAAAAACCTTATTGTGCGGTTTGATTTCCTATTCATTTCTAGTTTTATTGAATTTCACAGAGATTTCTTTAAAACATATTTTGAAAACAAAGGAGTAAAAAAAAAAAAAAAAAAAAAATGATACTATACCTTAGTATGTGTTCAGGTTAAGCTTCTTAACATTTATCGATTTCAGCGTGCTCCTCACCCTGGGTCGTGATGACAGCGTTCAGATTATGGCTCGTCTGCACTCGGTGTACTTTCTTTTTGTGGTGTGTTGTCGAGCACTGCCCTCTCCGCTGGTGTTCCAGACAGATTTGGTGTTTGTGTGAGTAATCCACACAGCCAGTGAGCCAAAATTGGATCTTACATTTTTCATTTTAGCACGCACAGGCAGAGACAAAGGCAGGCAAATAATTCACATATATTGTATTTCACTGAGATTTAGCTATTTGGATTCAAACATACCTACTTTGGATATCAGCAGATTATCTTGGTGTTTTGGACACATGTCAACGACTTTAATTTGGACGCATTGGAAAATAAGAAGTGCTCTTGCTGCAATTCAACTTCAACGAACACCAACAGTCAACATGCTTCTAATAT